GATTTACTCCCAGACTGATCAAGCTGCACTGGAAACCGCTGGCCAGCATCGAGTATTCTATCGAGGCCTTTACAGCCTGATTTTTTTTGCGCTGAGAAGGCGTCGCAGATTTTAACATCACGTACTGAAACGAATGCTATTAAAATCTGAACAAAATTTGCATAAACTAATATTTAAATTAATAACTCCTCGGTAGAAAAGCTCATACCAGAATCAAGTGCTAGGCATAGTGCATATCTTTAAGCCTTACGGCCAACAAAGAAACTCAAAACTAGGTTAATATGGACAAATTAGTAAACTTAACCGCAAATTAAATAAAATAAAAGAACAGGGGTCGCAAATCACATGGCTTCAAATTAACCCTAATTCGCTTTTCATTCATTTGAGACAGACAAACCAGAGAATATATAATATTCTGTCATGCAATATAATTACAAGGGCGGTGCAGGAGCAAGGAAAACTGAGGAAAATATAGTGCAAACGAGGAGTACAGATTATATCCGAAGTGCTAGCCATTTCGATAATTTAGTTTAAACCTTGCCGTAGGAAGACTATACAAACTCACTGAATGAATGGATTCGCCATGTTTGAAACCTGCTTTACAACAGATAAAAAAGACAGTTCGTCGTATGAGACTTACGTATTTCTTGTTGTTGACTAGTTCAGTGCCAACGAAGAAGGTTTCCTTCCCTTGTTGTGGCTCTGGCTTACCAACGCACACGGCCCTGAATAAAATTGACAAAAACAGACATGAATTAGAGTATTATTGGCATAACACCACACATCATCTGAAGGTACGGGTCAAGTTCGGATTGCATTCTGCGAATTGAGTGCTGTATCTTGTTTAATGCTTCTTCCGTGGTGGCAAGAAGCACAATACCATCACAATTCCTTAATTATCACTCGTTAATTACTTACAAATGAACAGTGGATTGCCAATGAACTCACTGCGGAAAAGATTTGGCAATTTTAAGCCTTTCGACGTGAAGGGCTACCGCTAGCTCCGGCAAAACATCATAAATACTCGACGGATGTTCATTTATGTCTTCGATATCATCATCTTCATTTTGACGCTTATTAAGATTATCTGTTAATCCTGCAAAACAAACGAACAAACGTATGATTCCTTCATTTACGACCGAACAGATGGCGTACATTTGGCAACAACATCAAATTTATTATACAATGTTTATGCAAGATTCGTGAAAAAAGCACAATATATACTATTCAATAAGGTACATGAATTCTTTACGCCGGAAATGATATGACGCTTTAGTAAGTCACAAACGGACACAAACCCATCCTTCAGACTACATGATGAAAAACTACACTAACGCAAAGAATTAATGCAATATCTTTAGAAATTAAGCTGCAGCAGTAATGCCCATTACAGACTGTTTAACTTTTCCCAGAATCTACTTTCTGCCTTAAATCTTCGGACTACGCTTGCAATTTTTAATGTACAACGAACACCCAGCCTATCTATTTCAAAAGTAGATGCGATCCCACGGGTTGAAACGAAACTGAAAGTATGTTCCTACATTTCAGCAGTCAGGAGTGAAATATATGCATATTATAATAAGTGACTAACAAGGACACTAAAAATTAAACAGAGAAGTCACTGTTGACTGGTGAAAGGACATGACATACTAGAAACACAATATGCTCAAGTTTGATTTCGTTGCGAAAACTTTCTATGATCTCGAACAGATACGGAATTTCACAATGGGCCGGTCAAAGTGTGCGGAGCAGAGAATCAATGGATCTTCGTATATTTTATGCAATTACAATCACACATCTCAATTAGGCTTGGAAAGAAACGGAGTTAGAGCAATATGTCTCTACTGGAAAGAAACACCTTGCTGCAGACCATGGAAACTATGCTAAAAATCATGTTTTCGTGGACCGACCACGGTCATGAAGGCCAGACACGAAACTTGCTGATGCAGAATGCAATTTGGTTTTACTATTCGAATAACATGCACGAATGAGCCAGTTTATCGCTGAAGATAAATATTGGTGTAGTGTTCGAAGTAAATTGGAACAGAAAGTAAAGTTGTACAATCGGGTGCATCTCATCTTCACATGCTGACGGGATGAACCCTCACAGCAGCAGGCCCGATGTTCCGGTGCTTGAAAAAATGGCAAACAATGCGAAATGAAATAGTTGTAGATATGAAATCGCAACTGAAGGAGGAAGGAGGTTGAATTTTCCAGAGAAAACCACCAAATCGTTTAGTTTTTTTCACAAAATAAAGATATAAACTGATGTCATTATACTGACATACAGATTTCATACAAAACAGAAAGCGAGAGCGTTTCACAATCGCTGATCCCTGAAAATATCTCTTTATTCCTCATTAAATCTTTCAAATGGCGCCCTACGGGATTAGTAGCAAGGGATCGGTGCAATACTGCGGAACCTTCATCTATCTTACACTACCGTAGCGTCTGTGTAAAGCAAGAAAGACATTTTTCTTTACACTGTACATTTTCGGAGTTTCACCCCGATATCATTACTGTTAATGTGATTTATGCCAACAGCGATATCGAAAGTTCCCACTTTTGGAAGCTACCCTAGAACATTGGGGTTGCTCCATTTTGCTGAGGTAATATTCTTTCTTCTTCTCCCTAGCGCATTCTTTTTAGCAGGGATTCGCTAATCTAGTCAGAACAGCCTCTCATTTTTTGACCTTCGGTTAAATTTTCTGTCATTACTCGCAGTTTCATATCGTCATTGATGACATCGAGTCAGATTTTCTTCGGACTTTGCTTTTCGTTTTTCCTGACAGTATAGCACTGCTTGGACTATGATTTCAATGTATTCGACGAGTCATCTTTTCACGTGACCGAACCAACGGAGTCTGCTTTCGATAAGCTTTGCTACAACGTGCTACGACCATAGTGTCTCGCATGAAACTGTTTCCGACGTGGCAGTTTTTTGACACTACACATCCAAATTTATTCCTCATTAAATAAAATAGCAACATCAAAGCTCACCATATCCGGATATTCCATAAGGTTTGGCAATGGCAATAATACCGCCTAAACGAAAAACGACCGTGAAACATGCCTAAAGCAAGCATCGTGCAAACAGTGCCTGAATTGTAAAGGACGTTGCTGAGCAACAACTGTACAAGCTCAGATCTGGTAGACGGAACGTGAGGCCAAATGCCTTCTACTGGAATCGAACTGCTAGTCTGGTGCTCCTCGTTACCGCAGTGACAACTTCTTCCGGGAGAATGCCATAATGCTGCGCTAGTGCGCGGACATATACTGAACAGAAATCGAGCGGAAATCTTCGGTATCCGCATCCAAAGATTCTGCAATAAGAAATATGTACATTTTTTGAATAGTCAATCAAAATGCTCAAAGGTCACCTGAAACCTCGCTGTCAATTCCCACTTAAAATGGAAAAGCCCTCGGCTAGCATAAAGCATTGTGCAGGTCCCGATCTACGACGTTTGAAAGCCTGACTCTGTCCTCCCAACAGCCTACGCGACTCTTGATATCCCGGACAACGACCGAGCCGGTATAATTTTCGACTGCGTCAATACCATGAGTGGCAGGTGGAGAACCTTTACTGAGACTTCGCCACGGCCTCCGACCCTCCCCCATTCTCAGCCGGGCTTGGTACTTGCAACGACGTAGTTTTAATGCAGCTTGAAAGTTGAAATTTTGCTTTTTGTAAACGATTGTGTACTAACCTCCTTTTAAACATAAATCAAAGGAAACATTCATAAACTGAATAAGAAATAAAACAGGGGAATCTAACACAAGCACAAAATTATAGACAAAACTATGTGCAACCAAAACCTATCGGATGACAGACACGTATAACGGAGAGTATATTTATTTTCTGACTGTCACTGTTCAATAAACGCAAAGGCTGTATATTCATTCACCACTTCTCAATGCAAGTAGCATTAAGCGCACCATAATTTACTCCTCTGTTTTGTTCTCACGTTTCGACTACAAGAAAATTCCTTAAAACTATAGAATACTGTATTGAATTCAGTAGTAAAGTACAGAGAAATTGCGCAATAACTGTATACAGAAGGCGACAGGCAAATGTGCTATAGAACCTGTAGGAAATTTACAAAAATTTTTATGGAGTTTTGAAACTGGAGCAGTGAAAAATTCTTTTTATAGTTTAACAATATTATACATTTTCAAGCATAAAAAATATTAATTCAGTTAATGTGGTTGTCGCACGTCCTTTCCTTTTTAGTGAAATGGTTATCGATTTTTTAAGAGCAGAATGAGCCTGTCTTTTCCCAATTAAGGATGCTAATATTTTTCTATTAAAATTATATCTGCGCTCGAACGAATGGCTTACGATCTTAGAATGTTCCTCATAATAACGTCTTGATATCCGTTTATTCTCACGTTAAGCGTACTCTATATTTTATCAGTGTAGATTCAACCGCAATTTTTATAGTCAATCTGATAAACAACGTTAAATTTGTCATCCGGCCGGAACGACATTGATATTTATACTACCGATATGCAGTAATGCTTCGGCTCAGAAAATCCGAAGGAAAACGATGTGCAGTAAATAAGTTGATAGAAATTTCTTGTAAATTCAAACTACAGAAAAAATGCATATGTAACATTAAAAATTGAAAAACCTGTAGAGTCACGCCTACACGTCAAACTGTGGACTGTTTACTGTCTGGACAGCAAACAAATACTGTTTTCTGGAGAAGTGCTTAATTAAATATCGATCAAGTGTTATAAGAGAATATGTTAATGGCACTTTTTCGCAAATTTTTTATGTACTGATACTCGAACTCGGTCGTTACCACCAACCGTTGTTTTTGAATGCCTAGTGCAATTGCTAGACTTTTCTAAAATATGATAATTTAATAACCTGCGAATCAATTTGCCTACTTTTACGGTATTCATGTTACGGTTGTTCGACGATGGCGCGTAAACGGTTGTAATTGCTTCCGGTAACGATGAACCCTAAAAAGAGTGAAATTTTAGGCATTCGTGGTATGAAGCGTACGGTCTGTGTGAAATGTGCCTGTGACGGAAAGGTTCTACTGAACGGCAAGGACATTTATTGTCGTGAGTGTTTCGTTGTGTATGCGGTGCACAAATTTCGTTCGTGTTTGGGTAAACACAGACTTTTCCGACGCTCAGAAAAGTGCCTAGTTGACGTTGGAGGTGGACCCTGTGGTCTGGCCCTTTTATCGCTAGTAGTATCGGCGGTTGTCGACGAGCGGAAACGGCTTTTGGCCGACCCTGTATTTTTGCACATTGTGGACACACCGGATTTCGACCCTGATGCCTACGCTGACATCACATCTTACCTTGGCAACCTCGGCTTTAGGTTGCACTTGGTTCACTACGGCAGTGTTTTCCATGGCGAAATAGACGATTCATGTTTGTGGAGTTACGACGGTTCACCTCAAGTAACCCAGGGATTAAAGGAAACCGTAAAAGACGTGCAGACCCTGTTCGCTGGCATCAAATCGACCACCTCAGCCACGGACGTGTACGATCGACTGCGCACCGTCTTGCTGTACAAAATCGCTCGTTTCTTCCGGTGCAAGTATATCCTGCTCCACCGCTGCCGCACCGAGCTGGTCAGTGGTGTGGCGGCCGGCGTCGCTCAAGGACGAGGTGACCAGATCAAGGACGATATCGCTACTCTAGACAGGCGCTGGAAGGACGTTACTTTCGTTCGGCCGTTGAGGGATTTCGATTCCAAGGAAGTCTTGCTGTTTAATTATTTCAGTAGCAAAAATCGGTTAGCCCTTCAACCGCTTCCTTGGTCGTTGATGGCGACTCGTGGCTCCTCGGACGATACTTCATCTCTGCAGGCCGAGTCCCTGTCCTTTTTCCTCAGTCTGCAGTCAGTTGTCGCTTGCACAACTTCGACCATGTTTTCGGCCGTTAACAAGTTGGTCGAGTTGACCCCTAGTGACACCGCTCACATCTGTCCGTTGTGCCGTTCAGTATTCGAGCTCGACTTCGCCGATGAGCAACGGTCGTTTCCCGGCTTCTGCTATGGTTGTCAACTGACATTACAAGAAGTAACTCACGTCGACCTGCTGAGGTCAGCCATTGCGTCTCTTTAGGTCAGTCCTTGATGCAAACAGAACCGAGGAATGTGTGGCATTATTTTCATCACCTGACTGCCACCATTGATAAAGGATACTAACTCTGCACAGTACAGTCGAATACAGCAAATACAGAGTCATGAAGCCCTGTTAGTTGAATCTTTCTCTTCTGGTCAACTTAGACCCATGCCGAGAAATGTGATGTAATGGTATACACTAACTTTTGATTATGATTATATCAGCCGAGTAATCCACACTGTTGTTAAACTGAATTTTGCCGCATTTGTGCTATTGTTCGTTTAAATTGTTTTTGCTTGTTGTCGTTGTGAAGTGTTCCCTGAAGACTGATTACGATCCGACATGTCGGAAATATGGTATATCTGATATGTACGTCCTAGAAAAACTTTCACAGTGAAGAAATGTGCGCTTCTATGCAATTTGCATAATTTCCATCAATTCTCACATTTTATACCATTTCAACGTAACCAAAATGCCACATCTTTGCCTTTAAAGTTGTATTTCTTTCCACTCGTTATGATCTGTAGACAAACAGCTCATTATGTAACGTCTAACATGGCGAACTGATCACAAGAGAAAGGCTTCTTAAACACTGAGTTGCTTAACAAACGGATTGTAAATGTTGTCGAGAGACAAAAAAATAGTTGAGACTTGCCTCGGAATGTATGGCAGCTTACGACTATGGGCATGAAGATCAATCTGCATTGTAAAACGTGCTGTTGACGACGTACACCGTATTGATAGCGTAATATAAAGATCTTAGTCTGACAATACCATAGCTGGTTTGATGATACGCAGTTCTGCTGTCATTTCTTTCAGCCTGTGTAAACGAGGAAATAAGTTTCAGTGATAATAATGTACATCCTGAACTAACGGGAAGTATGATACCGTGTTAGCAGAAATTGTTAGTTTTTTACCGGCGATACCGAAAACGAGCAGTTTGCTAATGAACGCATAAGATTGAAATGCCTACGGATAATGGCACTTCTGCTGGTTTCTGTGTAGCCTTTCCCGGTGATGCGGTTTTGCATCCATACAAACCGTATGCTAAAATATCATCGAGGCGTGGTCTATTTAAATAGTCCCCTGAGCCGTTAAAAACAAAGGAACGATGCGCCTGTTTCGTATAATTGTAACAGAAAGTAATCAGGTAAATTCTTAAAGTGCCTGTCATATATTTCGTAGTGTATGTGTTCTTTGAAAGAGATCTTGGCATAATGTGTTTTTATTAACGTCAATAAATACTTTATTTAAATTTCATTGAATTATTTAGATTTCTGTTATAGAGCGTCAAATAAATTTCCACGGCAACGATACCAGCAATTGGAGCTTACAGTGGGAAACTGGAAGCCGTTGCTTGGAGAAACAAAGTAGAAGATAGTTGGTAAATCTGCAAGGTATGGACTCGATATAGTTGAACCATGGGTCAGCGGTACGCCAGGGCTCTAGAATTCGGAACCTCTGCGGATGGAAGCTGTTCTGTTCGGTTGTCAAGTCAAACGGTCCGCGCTCCGGTAGAACCCAGCCCGACTGACAGAATCGTTGAGTAGAAACTTGTTAACGGAAGAGTAGTAATCTTTCAACTCCGTCATGGCCGGTCCCAAC